GGTTTAATATCTCCTAATAATAATCCTTGCATTTGATATAGTGCCTTATCACATCATTTCAAAGTGCTTCACAGGATGTACTCTAAAGCATAGTGTCTGTGTATCTTGTGGGCAAACATGATAGCCAGTTTGCGCAGATCAATATCCCTCAAACAGCCAGGAGTACCAGAACCTCGGTTTAATGTCTCATCCGAAGAACGGCATCACTGACAATGCAATTCACTTTCAGTACTGGCATTGGAATGTCAGTTTAGACTATGTGGTTCCATGTCCCGACTTGGGGGCTCGAGCCCACAATCTTCTGACTGAGGGGCGAGAGTCCTACCAGTGAGTCAGGTTAAGGGTGGCACCTCTGACAATGCATTTTTTTCCCAGCACCAGCCTAGACTATGCAAGTACAAAATCTTGACGTGGAGCTTGAACCCATAACCTCTGACTCAGAGGTGAGACTGTTACCAACTGAACCAGGCAAATACCTTTTATGTAGTCATATGGATTAATAAAGCTCCCAAATGAGTAACTCACCATGTATCTGGGCTTTCATCCAACTGTCTATCATCTGAGCTGCCTTGCGGTTGTACTACAATATGTTGAAATTAGTTATAGAACATAGTTTAACAATTCTCTTGTGTGTTTCTTGGTTACATTAACAAACTCCCACAAGCATCAATATTGACATCAAATGTGGCTCAGAATGGGATCAGGGTTTTGCAGTGAATTTATCAAATGCCAGCAAAGTACCTTGTATCTGTCAAAACATCCGAGATTAATGTAGGATGCCGAGAGGAAGAAAGAACTTGTATTTTCAAGGTGCTTCTACTGGTAAAGTGCTTCACAGTAATTATTGTCACATCTAGTGATATTTTTTGGGGGCAACTGTTATGAAGTGTTTTGACTGTTCTCATTGTTCTACCTGTGCATTCATTCCCACCTTTCCCTAAATCCTTCTCTCACCCAACTGTTCATGAATTTTCTAGTCACATTGGGGATTCAGATTAATTTTGACCGTGGCACACTGCCACTTCTATTAAACGCCGACGTGAAAGGTTTGATATCAATATAAATTTGTATTGTATTGAGAAAAGGTAATGCTGGACTTTTAATGAAGAAAGTCTTTCTTTAATTCAAGGTGATGAGTAATCTGGCAGGATTTCTATTTCCTGACGAGATTTGAGGCTTATTGTCTTTTACCGCTTTAACCAGTGAAGCACTGATTTAGTGAAGATGTATTGATGGGGGTTGGGAGGAAGGGGGGGGGGGGGGGGGTTGGGGGGAATTGACCACTTGGCAAAACTTTTTTAAAATCCATTGTTATCTATTTAAGGTAAACAGATGGTTTCTCAAAGGCAAGCTATGCGATTTTAGCTGGTTAGACTCCAGGATTTACCGCAATCCACACTCTGGGGGTCCCCAAGCCTTGGCTCTTAGCAACCTATACCTAATACTTTCTGGAATTAGGTAAGCAGGATGTGTCCCTCCAAGGAGAGAGTGTGCATTCCATTCCAATAAAATCTCTAGAATTTCCACGTATAGGTGGGATGCATGCAATTCTTAGTTTGGTTTGGATGCTCTTAATTACGTGTGTGTCTTTCTCTCCTCTCTAATTGTGTCTCTCTCTCCTTTCTCTCTGATTGTGTGTATGTCTCTCGCTCTCTTCTCTATAATCACACTTCAGTATGACCCCAGAGTTTGCTCTCTGTCTCTCAAATTGTGTACATTTATCTACCTCTCTCCTCTCTCTAATTCATAGAATTGTAGAATTATACAGCACAGAAGAAGACCATTTAGCCCATCGTGTCTGTGCCGTCTCTTTGAATAGAACTACCCAAATCAATCCCACTCCCCGCGCTCTCCCCATAGCCCTGCAAACTTGACCTCCCCAAATAATTATCTACTTCTCCCTTAAAAATTGTTATCGAATCAGCTGCCACCATCCTTTAAGCCATGCATTCCAGATCCGAACAATTCACTGTGTGAATCAATTTCTCCTCACTTTCCCTCTGTTTCTTTTAGCAACTATTTTAAATTGGTGTCCTCGAGGGCAGGGAGTCATCTCACTCAACTCCTGTTAACCCTGCAACTCAAAGCCCTAACGGGTAGGGTGGTCCTAGCTGAACAAGTAGTGGGAAAGCTCGTCAGACAGCAATATCAATGGCAAACTGTATAGTTTTAGCTGGTTAGACTCCAGCAGTATCCAGACTCACATTCTTGGGTCCCCAAAGCTTGGCTCTTGCCAATTTGTGCCTAACACTTTCTGGAATTAGATAAGCAGGATACTTCACTCCATTCCAACAATCTATCTCTGGAATTTCCATATCTAAATGGGATGCATGGAAATCTCAGCTTTACTACTTTACTACTTTTCCTAGCTTAGTATCATCTGCAAACTTCAAAATTACACTCCCTATACCCAAGTCCAGGTCATTTATATAGATTAAACATTGTGTTATCTCGCTCCTCTCTCTAATTATATGTCTATTTCACTCTCTCAGTACCTGTCTTTCTGCCATGTCTCTGACATGCTAATCGTGTGCTTCTTTCCCTGTTGGTTTGAGGGAGACAGAACCACATACAGTTTATACAGTTTATCTTTGAATGTGTACCAGTAAAACATTTGAACACCATCTCAAAATATACTATTAAATCTCCTGTATACATGCATCATTTGGAGAAAGTGTCATGAACTTTGCATTTTTTATTTTCAATAAAACAAACTAAATAGAGACAAAAGAAGATAAGATTCTGACCACCCTACGCTTTCTACCTACACAATAATCAAACTCATAAATATTCAGACAGTTGCTGCAAGTGTGAGAAGCTTCACTGAACCAAAATGTTATCGGAGGTAGGACAGATTTTACCGAGGGCAAATCATGATGTGCTGCTGCCCTGAAATTCCACTCAGTCTTTGCCTGTTTGGACTATTTTGTCTTAAAATTAGAATGTTGCAGATTTGTGGAAACATCTTTAATTCAGTTTTAATTTGGAATGTCAAGTTTTCTTTAAAAAGAAAAACTTCAAAAGTTCCAAGTATGTCAGCCTGGCTCAGTCATTGGCACTCTTGTTTCTTAAGACCTTAAGACTTGAAAAATGTATAGTCAGTCCCAAGGCTGGTACTGCAGTGCAATGCCAGGGTTTGCTGGATTGTCAGAGGTGCCATCTTTCAGATGAGACACTAAACCGGTGCTCTGTCTATGCCTGTTCAGGTGGATGTTAAAGATCCCATGGCATACACTTAAACCCCAGGTAGTCAATACTGGCAGTAATTGTTTGAAAATCATTTTGTTGTACTATTTAAGCTGGCACTGAATCCTTAATACTGTGATTGGGTGACAGTAGGGTGGGTGTTCTGAAGGGATGAGATCGTATTGGGATAGGGATGAGGTCCTTCTTCATCCGACCCAATCTTGTGATATTGTGATTTGGAATAAGCCATGATCTAATATAATGATGGAACAGGCACAAGGGGCTAAATGGCCTACACCTGTTCCCATATTCCTATGAACCTAGGGAATAAACTATTTTCTGCTCAGGGGATTCAAACAAGCTGAGTCAAAGTCAATCTCCCTGGCCACTGTGAAGGCTGCTCGTCATGGCGTTGGTTGAGAGTTAGCAGTTTGGAGTCTATACGCACACATGCCCACAGAAATTTTATTTGAAATGTTTTTGTTTTGAGCCCGGTTCAGCTAGTAAGCCGACGGTTATTGTTTTCAAAAAGAGAGTTTCTCTGTCCCAGTGTCCTGACCAATAATTCTCCAGAAAATGGCTAACAATCTGGGAAGTTTGTTAGCCATTTTGTATACCAACTGTCATTTACCTTACATGATCTGCTTTGACATTTGCATTCCTCACACTCTGAAGGATTTTTTTTGCTCAACCGGGCGTCTGATGCACGTGGAATCCCATCACCATCCTTAAGAATATCCAAACCAAACTAAGAATTGCATGCATTCCACCTACACGTGGAAATTCTAGAGATGTTATTGTAATGGAATGCACACTCTCTCTCTGGTGAGATGCATCCTGCTTACCTAATTCTGGAAAGTATTAGGTGCAGGTTGGCAAGAGTCAAGGCTGGGGGACCCCATAGTGCGCATTGGGGTACTGCTGGAGTCACCAGCTAAAACCACATAGCTTGCCATTGATATCACAGTCTGGCAAACTTTCCTGCTGCTTGTCCACCTAGGACCAACCTACCCCTCTCTGAAGGCTTTTGCTCACAGGGTCAACGAGAGTTGCGTGGGAAAAGTACCTGCCCCCAGTGACTGGTCTGCCCATCCAAGTCCTGCGATGAGTCATTAACTGTGCTGTCATTAACAGTGCTCTGGACTACTGCGGACCGACCTGGCTCAGGAACTGGACTAGAGACCATCGCAGACGGTTAGCTCAATTCTGACATTCTATTGTGAAACATGTCACCTTGGAGTCATTTCAGTTCCAAAGAGGCGCTGTTCAACCTACACCCCCCCGCCCCCACTCACCTCACCTAACAAAGGAGAACCGACTCAAAAATTTCTATTATGTTGTTTTGCATAATGATAAGGCAAAACAATCCAACAGCAAGTGGTTTCTGGATATTACTGTTGTGAGTCAAAGGACCATAAAGACTCTAGCACAGAAGAAAACCATTCATCCCATAGTATCTGTGCCTTAGCTACCTGTATAATCATCCTTCATTACTAATCCTACCTTTTAGCTCTTTCCCTGTACAGTATTTCTTAATCTTAATTTTTTGAATTGATGCAACAATAACAACAACTTGCATTTATACAATGGCCTTCAAGCCGGATAGAATCTCAGAGTGTTTAACAGTGGTGGAGCTTGATGCTGAGTTGGGGAGATGGGGTGGTGACCATAGGCACGATCAAAGAGGAAGGTCTCAATAGCTACTGGTGCTAGCGAATTTCACACTCCAACAATTCCCTTGAGTGATGAGAGTATTTCTAACCTTAAACTCCACCCCAAATTTTGTCTCACTCCTTTTCCTGTCTTTTCCTCAGCTGTCTGCCTTGTGCTGGGCTGCATGATATTCCCCGATGGATGGGATTCCGAAGCGGTTAGACACATGTGTGGAGAGAAAACGGGGAAGTACACACTTGGAAACTGCTCGGTGCGTTGGGCCTACATCCTGGCTATCATCGGCATCCTGGATGCATTAATCCTCTCCTTTCTGGCATTCGTGCTTGGAAACCGTCAGAACGACCTCCTCCAGGAAGATCTCAAAGTTGATAACAAAGGTGAGTTCCAATTTCTGAACTGACTAGTGGCTTGTTTCAAATGGCGAATAGCTGCTTATTTTAGCGATACTGGCAGGCGAGCTTTATACGGCTCAGAATATGGGCTTCGTGGGTTAGTGATCTAACCATGAACTGTCATGGTGATACTCTGCACGCCTGTGTTGTTGTGTTATGATATATATTGTCTTTAGATTGTCCTGCAATCAATTCCAGATTATTTCTCACTAAACCTGCAGTGACGACTTTACAATTGTTCATTAGCCTGTGTGAATGTCATCGCACATCACTGACATAGCATGCATCCGCATTGCCAGCCACTGAAACCAGCACACAAAGGGAATCGTTAGGCAATATACAAACTTGCCTACCAAGTACCAATTTCTGTACCAAGTGGCTTCAAGGCTGTTATCTGATCTCTGGTTCTGATGATTAAATCTGCTCAAACTTTGCTCTCTTTGCTGATGCTCCCAATTAGATCAACCTGAGATCATTTACGGAAATTCATTCCATCAGCTGTGTCCTCGCTTGTAGTTTGTGCAGCTTACTCCCAGTTATCCTTTAGCATCAATCTTCCAAATGCTTTGATTAGTTATAAGCCTTGCTCCCATATAAAGTCTCCGTTGTTCCCTTCCAAAATCATCTGTCCTTTGATTTAGATCCCAGCCTGTAACCCACTCGCCGGTATCAACAATTCTCCATAAACAATCCAAACCCGTGGACACGATCACAGTCATTACATTACCTTGTCATTACAATGATGGTAGTTGGTTGTTCTGCTGGTCAATGAAATCATTTTCACTCCCACAGAACAAAATGTTTCTTTTAAAGATGTACTAGAGGTGTTGATAGATTGTGGTAATGAGCAGGGGATGTAGGGAGCAGTCTGCAGCCTTTGTAATTACTGACAGTCAGTTGTGATTGTTCTACCTTTGTAGTGCATTGTGTTTCAAAGCTCAGGCAAAAACCTCATTGATGGCAAGCTCCTCCATAGCCAGTAAACTGATCCACAAACTCCACCCCCCCTCTCCTAGGCTCCCTTTAGGCCAGAATATGGGCTTCCTGATCTCAGGTTAGGTCTAAAATTTACCTTGACCCGCCCCAGTGGAGGGAAACACAGTGAGCTAAAGTTTTCAGGGGCTGATTGCTTCCAGTGACCCCTGTTGTTGGAAGGTGTATAAGGATATCTGGTGAACAGGCTTGACTGCGACGCCAACCCCCGCCCCCCAAGTCACTCGTGTTTCCAAGTCACTAGCCAGAACCACCCAGACAGCTTCCTGTGGTGCCGGCCTGACTCCCTAGTTCTGGACTCAAGCCTCAGAAACTACTCAGACCTAAAAAGCAATTGAATCACTGCACTCTGAGGCCACCATATCTTCCAGTTTTGGGCCGATGGTCACTGAGCTGAGACAGCAGGAATGCCACATGCGTGGGTTAGAATTATGTGTGTGTTTCGTCTTAAGCAATAAAGTTAAACTTCAACAAATAACTTGAATTATAACTCACATCATTTACATTTCCAATCCTGCTTTAACAAAATTGAAAGATGCGTTTGACCATATGTTTCTCAAGTTACATTAAAATATGTATTTTTGGATTTTGATATGAATATAATTCCAAACATGGAGATAAAATGGAAAGGGCTTGTTCAGAGGAGTTGCCGCCTAATCCCTCAATATGAAAATATTTATTGAGAAAATGTTTAGATCTGATATTTTTTATTTAAATATGGTATGCATATTTAAGTTGTCTCTTTGTATCCTACTAGAGTGCGTAGTTAGACCTAGTGTGCCTCTTTAGACTCTCATGCCCTCTGTTAACTCTTTAGTTAGGCCTAGTGTGTGCTTATCTGAATCTGCAGCCTAATTAAACATTGACAATGTTGCAATTCTACAACTAGGAAATTAAGAAATGTTGAGATTTGTGTTCCTGTTTTTAAGCACATCAGTGATCATACAGCAAGCACAATACCTCGCTGCTCAATCTCTGGAACATTCTTGACTTAATTTGTATCCATTGGGTGTTAACTCACTGAGGGAAATGCAAGTGCACATTTCCTCGCAATGAGAGGTTGAGGAGAGCTTATGTAATGAGGAAAGATTGAGCTCTAAGCATGAACGCAAGGGGAAAAGGAGGATGTGTAAGATACATAACGGAGAATGTTAAATCCCAGGCGGTTGTTCAGATTTGTCACTTGGTTAGATATGTTTATTCGCAGTGCTGGCGCCAGGAAAACTGCTGTATTCCAGCACTGCAACAGTAAACCAACTGAGCCGGAATAAGAAAAATTAGATAAATGGCATTTGGCAAGTGGTTAAAGGCAATGTAAGAATGTTTATCATAGAATTATATAGCACAGAAGGAGGCCATTCGTCCCATCGTGTCTGTGCCAGCTTTTTGAAAAGAGCTTCCAAATCAATCCCACTCCCCCACTTTTTCCCCATAGCCCTGGAAACTTGTCCTCCCCAAATAATTATCTACTTCTCTCTTAAATGTTGTATTGAATTGGCTTCCACCAACCTTTCAGGCAATGCATTCCAGATCCGAACAACTTGCCAGAAAGATATTCAGCAACAATAACCTTATAAAGGAAGTCCAGGAATCTGATTACGTTACTCTCTGATGCTTCTTTTCAGTGCTTTGCATTGTGCAATAGCAAAGCAGCAGCAGACTCCAATAATTCATATGTTATTAATATAACAATTATTAAACACTCAAACAATGGGTTTTAATGTTTGAAGTACTTCCTAAGGCTGGCTCAAACCCCCAGGTGCGAAGTTAACTCATTATTTAACTACTTCATGTATTTCAAAGATTATAGAAAAAACACAGAAATTGCTAGGTAGAATAATTTGAGGCAGATTAAAATGTTACTGTGAAAATATAACATAGTCTAGATATTGATATGGTTTGAACATTCAGCCTCATCAATCTAATGCATTGTTCAAGCAGTTTAGGAAACAGCAAGCAATATTTGGGAGGTTTAGAATTATATGCATTTTGCCCCGTTTCCATGTGTTAGGTGGTTATCAAAGTGTGTCACCATTTGTGGATTCTTCCTGAAGATTGTGTAGGTGCAAATGGTCTTCACCAGCAGTGAGTAGTAGGTTGGAGATTAGAAGCGTTGTGTTGCTGACGGCCTGAGGAAGAAAGTGGCTGCCAACCTCACAACTGAAACTGCACCATCCATTTAGGGCAGATAAACATCGTGTGAGCCTGACTGACCTTTGCCTTCTGTTTTGTGTTGAAGTATTCACGAATAATAAGAACGTAAGGAACAAGAAAAGGCCACTCGACCCATCGAACCCTCCACAGAACGTGTACAACTTGCCCTATCAAGGACCTTACCCAGCCCACTCTTTCTCCCAAGGGAGACAGCCAACCACAGGTAAAGCTCCAGGCAGATACATTTTTGTGAAATTTACTAGCCCTCCAGTAATGAAGAAAACGTGAATATCAATACAGCATCAAAACCTACACTTCCAACAAACTACGTCCACAAGCAACTCACCTCTCATGCCAGCAACATGGGAACCAAAGTGTTCTGTAGAATATTTTATCTCCTGTCTTTCTTTATGCTGTAAGACGCAATCCCCATCCCTATAGTAACTGTGTCCAGCTCCTTTCCTATTGCTTCTGGTAGCCTCTGCCGATATTATCCACCCTACTCTGAAGATTCATTAAAACTCCTAATGTATCACTCCAATTCAGTGATACTGAGATCTATATGTTAAGAACATAAAGTGTGAAATGAAAAAAACAAAAAGGCCATTCAGTCTATCAAGCATGCTCCTTCCATTGACCACACAAACATAGGCTAGCACCAGATATCCTGAAAAGTTTCTGGATAAATATTCTCTCAATCCCATATATTCCAAAGATAATCAAGAAAAACTCCAAAATTTACTTCCATCCCCAGAATTCAGCCCTAGCTTCTTTCCTTCAATAGACAACTCAAGTCTCCTCCGCCTGATCAGGTGAATGTTAAAGAAACAATTTGAAAATGGGTCAACTCTTCTCCAGATAAATTGGTCTTTCACTTCATGGCTGTTTGTGGGATCTTGGTTTGCGAAAGTTGGCTGTCACATTTGCCTACAAAATACACAGTCATTACACTTGACAGCAATTACCTTGAAGTGCTTTGAGGTTTCAATGTTATAGGTGCCGTATCCAATGCAAGGATGATCCTACCTTTATCCATCTTTCTAGGTTCAACAACACAGAACCCATTGTGTCCTGTGGAGTATCTGCACCTATCTATGAATCCTCCAGTGCCATTCTGAAGCGTTTACTTATACAGTTCTTTCTGAAAGAGTTCATTGACACAGCATCATCTGCTTTTATTGGGATTCTGTTCCATATATCCTCTACTCTCTCTTGTGTGTGAATTGGCGGCAGCATCACCATCCAAGGATTCACATTCCATCTCACTGAGTCAGCACGGAACCTTGGTGTCTTGTTTGACCGTCAACTGTCCTTTCTACCCCACATCCATGCCATGTCCTGCTCTGCCTTTCCCCACCTCCGCCACATCGACCCGGCTCTGCTACTGCCTCACCCCTCAGGCTGCTGAAAACCTCATCCATGGGTTTATCACATCTAGGCTCAACTACGTCAACTTCCTGGTTGTCAGCCTTCCCAATTCTTACCTCCACAAGTTGCAGATCATCCAGAACTCTGCAGCTCGTGTCCTCTCCCGCACCAGGCTCCGTGACCCTATCACCCCCACCATTGCTCAGCTCCACTGGCTTCCCATTCCCCCAGAGGATAGAGTTCAAAATCCTCATCCTTGACTTCAAGGGACTCCATGGCATTCCTCCTTCCTACCTCCCCGACCTGCTAACCCCTTATCAACCTGTCCATTCCCTCTGCTCAGCAGGCTCCGATCTGCTCCATGCCCCCCGCCAGGCCCGTTCCACTATTGGTGGTTGGGCCTTCAGCCTCTCTGCCCTCACCCGTTGGAACTCCACATTTCCTTTGCCTTCCTCCCTCCCTTCCCTTCTTCAAGGCACATATCAAGACCCTCCTCTTCAACCATGCCTTCGGCCACCCTCCTACTCTCCCTGCCTTCCACCCTAGCTGATCCTAATCCACCTGCTCAGGTTCAAATCTCTGACTGTTTAGCCCCTTGGGACATCCTCTCGATGTGAAAGGTGCAAGACAAATGTAATTTGGTATTGTATTGGTCAAGAGGGGGAATTCTTCTGATTTTTTGTGCTTTTTTTTTAACCATGACCATGTCCTCACACCATCTTAAATCTTTAGATTATTTACGTGCATTATTTGTGCAACTTGTTTTAAAAACCTGGATCATGTTCCTCCCTCAATCTTCATTTACTGCTCACAATTCAGAGCCAGAAGTCTCAGAATCATCCTAGTTGATCTTCCCTGAATCCTCTCAATACCCTCATGAAGTATAAGTACAAGTATAAGTACAAATCTGGCCACGCCAAGGTTAGAATAACTTCTATTGACTTGTAACTAAAGGCTTTGATGGCAGCTTTATCATAGAATCATAGAAGCATAGATTTATACAGCTCAGAAGGAGGCCATTTGGCCCACCGTGTCTGTGCTGGCTCTATGAAAAAAGCTATCCAGATCAATCCCACTCCCCCACTCTCTCCCCATAGCCTTGCAAACTTATCCTCCCCAAATAATCATCTACTTCTTTCTTAAAAGTTGTTACCGAATCGTCTTCCACCAACCTTTCAGGCAATGCATTCCAGATTCAAACAACTCGCTGTGTGAATCAATTTCTCCTCACCTTCCCTCTGCTTCTTTTAACAACTATTTTAAATCGGTGTCCTCAAGTTATCGACTTAGCCACCAGTGGAAATAGTTTCTCCTTGGTAACCATATTGAATCCCCTCATAATTTTGAAAACTTCTATTAAGTCCCCTCTTAACCTTCTCTGCTCGAAGGAGAATAATCCCAGCTTCTCTCGCCTCTCCTGATAACTGAAGTCCCTCATTCCTGGTACCATCCTGGTAAATCTCCTTTGCTCCCTCTTCAATGCCTTAACATCCTTCCTAAAGTGTGGTGCCCAGAACTGAACACAGTCTCTCGCTGAGGTCTAACCAGTGTTTTATAAAGGTTCATCGTAACTTCCTGACTTTTGTATTCTATGCCCCTATTTATAAAACCAAGTATCCCGTATGCTTTTTTAACAGCTTTATCTACCTGTCCTACCACCTTCAAAGATTTACCTATATGAACCCCCAGGTCTCTCTGTTCCTTCACCCCTTTAAGATTGTACCATCAGCGTATACTGTCTCTCCTCATTCTTCCTCCCAAAATGCATCACTTCGCATTTCTCCACATTAAACTTCATCTGCCCCGTGTCTGCCCATGTTACCAGTCTGTCAATGACCTCTTGCAGTCTACTGCTATATCCTCCCCACTGTTTACTTCTTTTCCTAACATAATATCATCTGCAAACTTGGAAATTGTACTCCCTGTACCCAAGTCATTTATATAGCTCACAAAACAGTTATCCCAATACTGACCCCTGGGGAATACAACTGAACACTTCCCTCCAGTCAGAAAAATAACCTTCACCCCCACTCTCTGCTTTCTGTCTCCCAGCCAGTTCTGTATCCATGCTCCATTGTCCCTTTAATAATAATCCTTGCATTTGATATAGCGCTTTTCACGTCTTCTCGATGTCTCAAAGCGCTTCACAGAATAGACTGTAAAGTGAATTGACCGTATATTTGTGGGCGAAATGCGGCAGCCAATTGCTCACAGCAGTGTCCCACAAACAGTTGTGGATTGAAAATGACCAATTTATTATTGTTTTGGAGGGATTATTATTAGGCGTGTGGAGTAAGGAAACTTGTCCAAGGTTTCGCCCTGCCTGGAATTGAACCCAGGTGTCTCGCTTGCAAGACAAGTGCTGTAACCACTGAGCTACAGGACTCCATACCATGGGCTTCTATTTTGTTGACAAGTCAATATAGCACTTTATCAAACGCTTTTTGAAAATCCACATGAACTACATCAACTGCACTACCTTCATCCATACTCTCCGCTACTTCATCAAAAAACTAGCTTGTTAGAAATATTAACCTTTAACAAATCCATGTTGGCTGTCCTTTATTGGCCCATATTTTTCTAAGCGTAAATTTATTTTGTCCTGGATTATAGTCTATAGAAGTTTTCCAACTACTGACACTAAGCTGACTGGCCTGTAGTTCCCAGGTTTATCCTTTATCCATCTTTGGTGCTGTGCCATTCTTCTGAATCTAAATATGTTGTTGTGAAGTGAAAGTACCAAAGGAAGACTCCAATTAGAATCTTACTTGTGATATGAATTGAGTATCACACTATGGAACAATCATCTGCTGTTCAAATCTCTTTATGCTCATGGAGGAAGTTCCACAAATATTCACCTACAATTGCTTAGATCATTCCCTGAACAAGTCCACGACTATAGCAATGGTGGATAGTCTGTTGGAAAGAGCAGCCTTGATGAGCAAATGCCTTTTCCTCCTTCGTATGACAATAATCTTAACACAAATTAACTAAGTGTAACTCAACACAAGAAACATTATATTTGAAATATTCTCCTAATGTATAATAATTTCTCAGTAACTCTATCCTGTAGCAATGAAACTCTTGATTACATTTTTACTTTTGCTGAGCGTTTGTTTTTTAACGTCCTTACTGAGGAATGTTGTTGGCTCATATAACACAAAAATCATACAATTATACAGAACAGAAGGAGGACATTCAGCCCATCGTATCTGTGCCAGAAGCAAGTTGTTGAAAATCACCCTTTGAGATCCCTGGATGAGCTAATGGATAAAATCTCAGCACCCAATTCAGAAGGTCCCATGGTTGACTCCTGATAATACACTGAGTTGGCTGATCAGGGAGGACTGTAATTAGGCTCAGCACCTTAGGGTCAGGGTGGGAGCAAACTCAGCCAGAGTAAGCCCTTCTGTTTGCTGCCCCTTCCCCTCGCTGGCATATTGTGTGCAAAGATTTGGTGAAGACAGTTTCAACTCTTGGATCAGGGCTCGTACATTTGGGGAAGACCCTGGAGGACGGCGACACTCTCCCCAGCAGAGGTGAAAAGGAGTCAAAACGACTTCCAGAGTGGAGAGGTGATTTGTGGGGGGTGGAGTTGGTGAGCTTTGTTGTAAAAATGCCACCCTACAATAATGTATCATTTGCCCGTCAGTCAAATACTAGCTAAGAAATCACCATGAAAAAAGAAAACAAGTAGGTCATTCCCTATTTGATTTAAAAATATTTTTTGACCCTTATGATGTGTTGCTGGCGCCCAGAGTTTTCTTGCAAATGTATACACTTTACAGTCACTGTCAATACCCAGCCTCAAACACCACAAATGGGTGACATCACAGTCAGTGCCAAATCACAGCAGCAGTCACTTGTCTAGTGCTGTTGTTCCAAAATGCTTCATCTCTCCTATATTCTGTTAATGATGTGCTATCTTAGAAATCACATTGACAGATGGACCCTATACCCTCCACTGACAGCCCAAAAGTGAGTACTAACTCCGTACATCACGGATTCCTGGCAATGGGGAATTGTCATTCGGGTGATTTTACACAATTTCAATGCATTTTATTTCTACCAAATTACATTTTGTGATTACGTTTTTACAGCATATTTTCAGTGCATCTCCACGATTCCCCTGCCCCCCTCCCCCCCCATCCCACTTCAGCATTTGGCTTACACATCACTTTTTTAACAGTATCCTTTAACACCTCTGTGGTGTGCAGCAATTGGAGAACACACATTGGATTGCAGGTGTTAAACAGGAGTTGAATCAGTAATCTGGGGAAAAAGATTGGTTTAACAGAAATTTATAGCTCAAATGCTTCAATTACCAGAGCAGTTTCAACTTCTATTCATTTAACAGTCATCTTTTCCATCAGAAAACTTACTCCTCAATCTTTTATGTTATTGCTTCCCTCACCCTCTGGCACAACCAGTCCCCAGGAGAGTCAATGTTGACCATCTGCGGCAAGGTTTACCAAGTCAGCCAACCTCAGCTACCAGGGATTCATTAGAGAATGGGTTAATCACAGCAGCTCACTTCACAGTAGTCCGAAGATCCACAGGGAGGAAACTCAATCCTATTGGAGTTACCACAAATCAATGAATGGTGCAGATTGCTCGAGGGGCAATTATGGTTTTGGTGTTACTGACCAACCAAGCAGCTCAGTGAATGGTTTACAGCTGAGGGACTGCAGGCCTCATTGTACGTTACACTGATCAGTCATCCTGGCCCAATGCTCCCATTCATTTCAGTAACAGTACTGAAATGGGAGTGTTTTCAGTGCAGTGCTTACTCCTGTACAGAAAGGGTGCAATGGGAAGGGGTTGCTTTAAGTCGGACTGATTTATTTGTGCTTCTTATAAGGACAAACAATTCATTACATTTATTGTTTTTTTAATTTCTATTCTCTTTCAGATTTCACCGGTGCCGCGGTAAGTGGATACCATGTTATTTCATGTAATCTCGTTTGTCGAACACAGCAGTGCAGCACCAAATACAGACTCCCAAATTAACACCAAACCTGGCTTAACATGTTCATTGAAAACACACATGGTTCAAAAATGAGAAACAGTGATGTATTCGACAAAGCTAAATATCCCTTTTGCAAATTGACTTCCATTCCATGCTAGAAAATCTGTTTTACGCGGACTTTCTTTTCAGTTAGAACTAGTGGAGTAGTCAAGATTCAACCTACACCTTTCTTTCCCCCACTCCTTTAGGTCCCTCCATGCTCTGTGTCACCACACTGCCAAGACGGTGGGCAGGTGCCTCACCAGACCACTGCCAATGCTTCTCTCCACCTGAGCCACTACGGGATAGCTTAATCCCTGTCAATTATTTAACCTAGTATATTTTTCTCTCCACTTCTTTTGCCTGGTAACCTTGGACATCAGGAACTTGCCAAGTGGCAATAACATATGCAAAATCTCCATTGTACCACTCTGTATAACAGAAGAGCAGATGATACTGTGTATAATGTAAATACAGTAAAATATATATGTATATATTACTGCAGATACAGTAGTCGGGATATTAAAGTTTGTGAGCATATCTTGTCTTTTCAAGGGTACACAGTACCATGTGCAGATTATAATTGCAGGAATGTTTATAATTATAAAACATTATAAATGTATGCCTGTTCAGGAGTACTTGAAAGAGAAGGGAGTTTCTCCCAGTGTCCTGGCTAACAATCCTGCACATAAAATTGGTCACTCACTTTGTGGCTGTTTGTGGGTGGTTGTGCGCAAATTGGCTCTCAGAGACATTGAGAAATTCTTGACGTGATAAGCATTTTTATATGGGAGTCTATTACCATATACTGTTTATAGGGGAAGGTATAGGGTACATTATGTGTTGTAAATATAGACAGTGTAAATTGTGGCAGATGCAGTTTCTTGTATAATGTAATACAAATTAATTATCTTGTATGTATTATATAGAATTTCCATACATTGTGTGTATTATACAAGGAAACAGTATGTTGTGTGGATTTTAGCTCTAGGAGGATATTGTATAGATTATATCTATAGGAGGATACTATGTGGGTTATCTTATTAAGTGCATCCAGTGCCTCTGCACAAATAGATTGTTTACAGTGATATGTAAACGATGGCTTGTTCATGGCCATTTCTTTGGTAGTGAGAGTTATGGCTCAATTGTACTGCAGTCGTCTTGTGGACCGTCACTTCTGAACAATTGAGAGCTGAAATTGTTGTCTCAGATTGCTGGGTCTCCTGAATCCTGGCCCTCGTTTGGTCTCTTATCATCAAAACTGACCACAAAGATGATAAAATAAACAATACATCCCATGGCTGGCCTCCAATTCAGTGTTGTTATTTCAGTCCCTTGAGCACCGAGATATCATAAGTCTTATGATTCTTCTCAAAAGACTGTCTTCCCACTTAAGGTCCGTTATCCATCCATCTGGGAACTCAGAATCCAGGCTGACACTACAATGTAGAGGTAGGGGTGAGCTGCCTGTTCAGATCAACATTAAAGATTCCATGACACTGTTAGAAAGAGAAGGGAGTTTCTCTCCCATTGCCCTGGTCATTCATTTCATGGCTGTTTGCGGGGTGTTGCTGTGTGTAAAATTGGCTGTCTCATTAGCCCACAAAACAGTCACTTCACTTTACAGTAAATCCTGTGAGATATCCTCCCAGCATGAAATCTATACCAAATGTAAGAATTATTATTATTATTATCTGCCAGGATCAGTCCAAAACCACTCTGTGCTTTCATTTTAACATAGTACGTGAAAAATAATGGATAACTGGGAGCATTTACAGAGCCCTAATCTAATTGAGTGAAGCTTGAGAGAGTTTATCATCTACATTTTGAAGATTAAATTACCACTGTAAATTCACACAGGCATATTTTGCTTCATCATTTACTATTTGTTAAGATATGTCTATTGTTATTCTATTGCCCTCTCTGTATCCATGCAAATTCACCATTCTCATCCCGTAGCTAGACTATTGTTCCCAGGCATAAAAACAGAAGTCACTGTGAACACCCAGCATCTATGGCGAGAGGAAAGTGAGTTAACGTTTCAGGTCAATGACCTTTCATCAGAACTTGAGTTCTGACGAAAGTTCATCGATCTGAAACATTAACTCACTTTCCCATGTCCATAGATGCTGCCTGATCTGCTGAACATTCCCAGCAACTTATGTTTTTATTTCAGATTTCCAATATCTGCAGTATTTTGCCTTTTGTTAATTGTTCCCAGGCCTCTTCTTCACTATACACTGCAAGGTACAGATTAACGCAACCCTCAAGGTTTTTTCTGCATACTTGTGGGGAGGCTGTGGGATCTGTTTTCAGCCTCCCATGATAACATGGCTAAAACAGAAATCCTCTTTCCTCTCACCAATGCCATGACCATGGAGTGAACCATGGGCAAAATTTTCGCTCTATTACTCTGGTGCTACAGTGTATCGCAATTCCAACATGCTGCCACTGTGGTATCAGTGATCTGGAGCAGGCACACTCATTCACTTGTTGGTTGCAGTGTATGCAGTATTGGGTTGGTTTGTGTGTCTGAAGGTTACCAGTCCCCTACTATTCCTATGCTCCATGCCACTGATATGCAATGACATTCATACAAGCAATAGCCATTGTGATGGGATCGCTGCAGGTTTATTGAGAAATAATTACAGTTGATTACCAAGGATTTCTATGTCCAGTATATGTAATTAACTGGGATTTCTATTGAGACGTGCTTTAGGTTAACCACAGCTTGCTGAATAATGAGAGCTGTGACTATGAACTCCACCCACAAGTTCATAAATCTGAATGGGCACTTTGGAATGAAAGAAAAGCTTCGAATAGAAAAATGTCCAAATATTCAACCTGAATTTATGTGATTATTCTAGCCGCCTCTGTCTTTGGCATTCCTAGCAATCTGATTTCTGGATTTCTTGTTCCTAAGTAAAAGACGATGTGAAAGTAACTGTTTAACAACTGCTATTCCTATGCTCCCATATTCCCAGTGTAATTTTTCAGTGAGTAAATACTCTCACATTTTGGCCACTGCATGTGTATAGAGATGTGTGTAGAGATCCATTCCACGTTTTTCTTGGCTTGTCTTATTGTGCTATTGGTTTATCTTTACAATTTTCCCAATTGCTCGACCAAACTCTGTGTGGCTTTGTTGCTCTTCAGTTCAATAAGATTAAGTTGCCTCCACAATAGCTCAGCTCCTTAAATACATTTTTTAATTCATTAATTTACCACTGCCTCACCCCTCAAGCTGCCTCACCCCTCAAGCTGCCGAAACCCTCATACACGCATTCGTCACCTCAAGGCTCGACTACAGAAACTCCCTCCTTGTTGGCATCCAACTCTTCCCTCCACAAGCTGCAGATCAACCAGAACTCTGCAGCTCATGTGCTCTCCTGCAGCAGGCTCCGTGACCCCATCACCCCCACCCTTGCCCGGCTCCACTGGCTCCCCATCCCTCAGAGGATAGAATTCAAAATCCTCGTCCTCACTTTCAAAGTCCTCCTCAGCCTTGCCCCCTCCTACATCTCTGATCTACTGACCCCCTATCAACCGGTCCGCTCCTTCCATTCAGCAGGCTCCAACTTATGCCATGTCTCCCACCCGACCCGCTACCAAGCTTTCAACTTCTCTGCCCCCACTCTTTGGAACTTCATCCCTTACCCTTGCTCCCTCCCTTGTTTCCTTCAAGGCATGACTCAAGACCTTCCTTTTGACCGTGCCTTCAACCTCCATCCTACCTTGCTGCCCTCCTTCATCCCAATGCTGCCCACCCCATGCTCAGGTACTGATCTCCAACTGTTCAGTGCCTTGGGACATCCTCCCGATGTGAAAGGCTCTTTACAAATGTAATTTTGTTGTTATTTAGTGCTACACCAGCACCAGCATTGCAAATTGGGACATTTCAGTTCTAATGCTGTTGTTTTCTTGATGCTCTCCTATTTACCCTACATTAAACTAAGGTTCTAGACTTTAAACCAAGGGACCATCTGTCTATTGAGGTGTACGTTAAAGGTCCCATAGCACCATTCAAAAAGAGAAGGGAGATTCTCTTAATGTCCTGGCCAATAATCCCCTCATACACGTCAAAGCTGTTTGTGGAACATTGCTGTGCGCAAATTGGCTGCCGCAAACTCCCACATAACAGTCAATCCACTTCACAATGAATCAGGATTTGAGATGAAGCACTTTGAGATGTAAAATGCACTGTATCTAATGTAAGGATTATTATATTTGACTGTAAAGCGAGATCCGAAAAATTGTGTTCACTCAAAGAAAAGGGTCAGCGAATGCACTTCTTTACGATCCCTAAGAGCATAAATAAACTGAACCCTCATAGTATGTTTCATATGGTTATCAAATCTACAACAGGTGTACACAATTTTTAATCATTTCACGTAAAGAATGGTGAATCTGTGGAAATGGACTATCCAGGAAGGCAGTAATTGTGCCAACAAATTCAAGAGGAATTAGATAGCTATTTGATGAATTGAATGGTATGTAGGAATATTATACAATTAACCACAATGATTGTTCCTAGGCCTGTGGATTCCTATGTTACAGTATAACACAGTATATAGTTTGGGACACAACATGTCAAGCAACTTCTGGGATGGTGGAAGGTGAACTAGATGGTCTTCTTTCACCTAGCTATTTCTAATGTTCTTATGGACATTGGGGGAATCAACAATTTGGACGTGTTTGGTCTTTAGAATCTTGGTTATTAGATTGTTCAAGTGTAAAGCACCATTGCATTTTCCATCTCCACACTCTTTTCCCCCCCACCACATATACACACAATCCACCTTGGGGTGAGGTAAGCAGACCCTTTGGCGCTGAACTGGCTCGGTAGTCTTGTTCCTGAGCCAGGCGGATCTGCGGTACAGTACAGCGGATGACAGCACAGCCGGTCTGGCTCATCAATAGGACCTGGAAAGGTAGAACAGTCACTCGGGGCAAGGATTTTTCCCAATTAGCTCTTGTTAACCCTGCAAGCCAAAGCTAGGTGGTAATAGCTGAACAAGCAGCGGGAAAGCTTGCCAGACAATGCCATCAATGGCAAGCTGTGCGGTTTAGCTGGTTAACCTCCAGCAGTTATCCCAACATACAATCTGGGGTCCTCAAGCCTTGGCTCTTGCCAATCTGCACCTAATACTTTCTGGAATTAGGTAAGTCAGATGCTTCCTTCCAGAAAGAGAGTTTACATTCTATTCCAATATATAGGTATTTCCATGTTAGGAGGATGCATGGAGCTTTCAGTTGGTTTGGATAGCATGTTGATGGGTTTTTGCATGTGTCAGACACCCGGCTGACCAAATAAAATCATACACAAATGCACATTCTTTATCATAATTTATTTGATCATAGGAGACAACTGTACCATAGGAGTAAAAAATAATATGCTTCATAATACTCAATGGGATAGTATGAATCTAT